TGCACGAAGTTTCAAAGCTTAATTCTCAAAATTGGCAGAGATATACGCCTTCAAAGGAAGCGTTTTTATATGGTCTTAAACTGTAGTTAAAACTTTAAACGCGTTTTTCTGGAAACAGCATTTTCGAAACTTGCTGACACGATTGCCAAAAAACCAGCAGTCCGATCCACTCGAAATTTGTCAGGTATATTCAGTAGACGTTGCTTTATCGTCTGAGCTAGAATTGTGCAATTATTTTCAAATTTCATTCTTTGTGGTAAAAAAAAAACCATCATATTTTTGTTAAAATCGAAAGCAATTTCTTCGAGACCTTGCCATTTCTCTATTTCTCAATATTTTTTAATTATTCTAGTCCAAACAATAGCCACACGTATACAGATTGAGAACACGTCTGCATTTTGTATTTCGAATAAGTAACAACGTCTGATATCGTGTCAGCCATCGAGAAGAATATTTTTTCAAGGCGTTCTCTTCACGTTGCTCCTATTTCACGAAAAATCAATATTTTCACTTATGAAAAATATTTTTGTATTCTTAAAAGACGATAGAATAGGCCTAGAAATTTGCAAAACGATACGCGTAGCCCTTGCTTCCTGTTAAATTTGCGAAAAATGAAGTTCTTCTTCAGCCGGTCGCAGTAGGGAGATCCCTTGGTATCAATTAAATATTCGGAATTCGTGGAATAGAAGGGTGGACGGCGCGATTCCTTTCAGAATGAAACACAGGTTCGACTCCTCTTTCGGTGGGGGAATTTATCTTTATTTTATTCGCAGTTATCTAGCACCGGTGTGTAAGCCAGGTAGTGATCGGAAAACGGAGGAAACCGGTACGCGGAGCGGTAACGCGAGGCGCGAGTAGTAAAAGATCGGTCGGGGTTTTTATTTATCAGAGCGGAAACCCCCGGTATGAGTTTCTCTAATCCAGCGAAGTAATGATATCTCGGGAGCCATATAGGTTGCTCTTGCCATCAGCTACTGTAATTGGTCCATTACTCGCTACTGCTTGGAATGCAATCCAATTAGGGAGACGGAGAATATATCCAGAGGGCAGACTCTTCTGGTTCTCTTTCAATCTTACGTTAACGTCGCTTTCCGCCTCTATCTACTTCACCTTTTGCCTGCCTCGCTATCTTCCTTTCCTATCTTCCTCTTTCATTTCTACTCACTTCCATTTTCGTTCTCTCCTCCTTTCGCTCGCACGTCGCGTGCGAGAGAGTCTCTCCTCTACGGTTCAATCCCACCTTCTATCTTTTCCCACCTTTTCATCGTATTTTCCCAAGCCTCTCGTGTTCTTTTAATCCCCATCGGGGCGAAACGCCCGATCGGCGAGTCGGGATAACAAAATACACCGTACGCGTTAATTCTTCTTTATCATGCTTCTTTTTTTTCTTTTTATCACTTTGACATTGCTGTCTGCTTTCTATGCGATAGGTGGGAGACTTCGTCCGGGGGACTTTTTCGAAAGTAAATGAAACTCCTCGTCGATGAAGCTTTTCTCATTATAGGTGGTAGCTTCGACGTGGAATTCGATCTCGATAATGTCCAATTAGGAGACCGGAGTATCGAACGATCTACCACTTTCGATTATACTTCGGAAAATTTTGCGTCGAGAGTACCTTTACACGTGGATTCGCGTTCTATTTCGTTCTGTGTTTGTGGAAAGTACTATTTTTTGTCATTTGCCAAATTTGCCAAAATTTTCAAAATCGTTGGAAGATTTAATCACAGGACAATGAAGAATATTTCCTTTTTTTTTT